TTAACTTTGCACGACCATCCCTTCTTTCCCCACAGGACCCTGATGCTGGGAAAGGTTGAAGGCAGGAGGAGAAGGGGATGGCAGAGGATGAGATGGCTGGATGGCATCACTGACTCGATGGACATGAGTTTGAGCAAGCTCCGGGAGTTGGTGATGGACAGGGAGGCCTGGCGTGCTGCAGCCCACGGGGTCACAGAGAGTCGGACACGACTCAGTGACTGAACAACACCACCACAAAGACGGCCGTCGACAAGCCGGGGGAGAGGCCTCGGGAGGCACCAGCCCTACTGCCCCCTTGATCCTGGATGGAAGTGAACGTGAAAGTCGCTCAGTCATGTCCGACTCTTTGCGACCCCATGGACTATACAGTCCAAGGATTTCTCCAGGCCAGAATACTGCAGTGGGCAGCCTTTCCCTTCTCCAGGGGATCTTCCCGACCCAGGGATGGAACCCAGGTCTCCCGCCTGGCAGGCGGGTTCTTCACCAGCTGAGCTACCAGGGAAGCCTTTGGGTGACCAGCCTCCAAACCCTGAGAGAATGAGTGCTGCTGTTTGGGCCGCCTGGTCCGTGGCTCTCTGTCGAGGCGGCCCTGGGAGGCTGACACAACAGCCCGGGAGGAACCTGACCTCTGAGAGGCGCATCGGGGTGACCCACTTCACACCTTCAGAAGCCCCATGCTCCAACTGGGAGCCCTGTGTCTCTGGGTATAAAACATACACAAGTGTTAGGTTCCCGACGATCTCCCAGTAGAGAGCGGGGAGAGTCAGGCAGAATTATCTCTGCTCCCCTAGACATCTCCAACCCACTCCTGCAAACACGGACACAGCTGAAACAGAAAAGGGAGGGGGCAGTGCAGGCCAGGCCAATCCCTGGCCCAACAGTAACAAAGCCAAACAACTGGGCCTGGCTGCAGGAAGCTCACGTTCCAGTCCATTAGCGTATCAAAGCTACAGTTCCACTGCCCTAAAGAAAGGCATGCAGATGAGCTGTACTTAAATATATAACCTTGGGATTTCCCGGAAGCGGGATTTCCCGGAAGCGGGAAAACTGGGACAGGGCACAGCATCATCCCATTGTGGTCGCATGAAACCCTGAGCCTGGAGGCAGAGACCTGCCTCCTGTCATACATGTCCTCTGTGTGTGTGTGTGTGTGTGTGTGTGTGTGTGTGTGTGTGTGTGTGTGAGAGAGCCTGGAGGCAGAGACCTGCCTCCTGTCATACGTGTCCTGTGTGTGTGTGTGTGTGTGTGTGTGTGTGAGCCTGGAGGCAGAGACCTGCCTCCTGTCATACGTGTCCTGTGTGTGTGTGTGTGTGTGTGTGTGTGTGTGTGTTAGTGGCTCAGTCGTCTGACTCTTTGCAACCCCATGGACTGTAGTCCACCAGGCTCTCGCTTCTGCCCATGGAATTCTCCCGGCAAGAATACTGGAGTAGGTTGCCATTCACCTTCCCCAGGGGTCTTCCCCACCCAGGGATGGAACCCGGGTCTCCTGCATGGCAGGCGGATTCCTTACTGTCTGAGCCACCGGGAAGCCCTCATTCTTGTCATGTGTGCCTCCTAATCACCCCTCTGCCTCTGAGCGTAGCTAGGGAGACTCACAACCTGGAGCCTCTGTGCACCACCCCGTCTGGAAGCATCAAAGGTAACACCGGTTGGTTGCAATGAAACATTCATTTCACACCTAACAATTCATTTCTATGGCTAAACGGCAGACAGAAAGGCAGTGTCTGAACTTCCAAGCAAGTCCACTTCTGCATCTCCATGGGAGCGGGAAGAAACCAAGCCTTTGGAAGGAAAAAGCACATATGTTCTCAGCGCTACAGCCATGGGGCCTGTCCTGCAGCCAGCTCACATCCTGTGATTCGCCATTCCTTTCTGCAGATGCTCTAAAATACCGTTTTAAGCAGCCTACCCCTCTCAGCAAATGCTTTTTCTATTAACTTTGAAAAACACCTGACACAGTAAAGCAAACACTTTCTCTGCTCACAAAGCACCTGGGCAGAGCCTAGCTCCTTGGATCTGGATACCTGTGCAAACGAAGTGAAATAAAATTTTGAAAAGACTCTGCTCAGCACATCAGCCTCGAGTCAGTTTCTTTCCTGTTGCCGCTTTCAAAGATGGGGCTTTCAAGCGGAGGTGATCCAAGTGCAAAATCCTGGCTAAAATCCTTGGCCCTGTGGCTGCCAGAGGGACTTGGAGCGCATTTCTGAGAGTGGAGAAAATAACGTAACGCATGCGCGGAGTGCTAAGAAACTAGAGACTGGGGGGAAAAAAATGGCTTTCCTCAGCTCTTGGTTACAGCTTTCACTCCTCTTGAGTTTTCCCCAGGCAAGTGAAACTCAGGCATCACCTGCTGCCAAAGCCAAAGAATTTGATGTGCTTTTCCAGAGAGGACTCCAGTCTCCCATTCCAGAGAATGGGTGATGGGGCGAGGGGGGCGGGGCATTGACAAGCGAAGTGGGAGGTGCTTGAGCCAAATGCCTGGTCAGCATCTCCGGGCTGCTCTGCCCGCCTTCTTACCCACAGACGCTAACAGCCATGAGTACTTGGGCTTCCGCCTCCTGAGTGTCTTGCTAAGTGCCAGGCCACGCCCGGCTCCCCACAGTCACCCCTGCCTGCACCGCCTTTCCTAGCTCCAGGGGAGCAAGGCATCTCTCAAAGCTCCTCTCCAAATCTGGTCTTCCTGCCCCCCACTAAAGAGGAACCAGCACCCCCCTCCCACTTCCCACTCCCAACCTCCCCCTTCCAGGCATTCACCTGCCAGCAGCCAGGAAACAGTCATAAGGGACCCACTCAACTCAGCCACTGTCCGAGGAGCAAAGCCAGGCGGGCTCCTCTGCCAGGCCCTGCCCCCTGGTCCCTCCAAGGCAACTCTGCAGTCAATGGGGATCGGCAGGCTGGCGCTCAGTGAGCCCTGAAGGTGCTGGTCCCAACTGGGAGGCTGGTCTCCACCGCTCCATGTCTCTCCCTAACTTCTTGCACCCCCACCAGCCACCCTCCCCCCGACAAAGCTAAGATGAATTAGTTTCTGGACGAATCTGGGGTGGGTGGGGGTCTTGGTTTGGATGTTCTGGCTCCACAGGATTGACTTAGGAGTCAATATTTATTTGTTCCCTTGAGTTCCTGGGGTCCAGGTTTTGCCCTGCAGCCCAAAGGTACAGCTTAGGGTACACAGGACAAGGTTTAGGAAGAAGACTGGAGCGAGGAAAGGGCAGGGCCCAGCTGCACGTCTGGGGTCTGACCCCTCTCTCCAGATGCATGCCGGTTTGGACGTCCAGGCAGTTTCCTGGTGGCTCAGATGGTAAAGAAACCGTCTGCAATGCAGGAGACCCAGGTTTGGTCTCTAGGCCAGGAAGATCCCCTGGAGGAGGAAACGGCAACTCACTCCAGTATTCTTGCCTGGAGAGTCCCATGGACAGAGGAGCCTGGTGGGACACTGTCCATGTGGTCTCAGAGGGTCGGATAAGACTGAGTGGCTAACACTTGGACCCCCAGGGCTCTTCCAAGGAGGGGGGCGCCTGCTCCCCTCCTTACTGCCTCTCAGGGCCCTGACTGCCTCCTGCTGGCCAGCCCTGCCCAGAGAGTGAGCCCCGGCCCTGCCCGGCCCCCGGGGCCTCCAGTCTGACTGGAGACGGCACAAATGACCAGATACCAGAGACCTGGCGTTGGCAGGAGAAGCTGGCTGGGGAGGGCGGCCAGCAGGGCACTGAGCTCTGGGCCAACCAGGCCCGGCCAGCGCTGCCCCTGCACCAACAGACTCACTCCCCTTCCGCATCCCTTCTCCGGCAGAATTCCCCACCCCAGGGTGCCCAGCACGCAGGGGCTAGACAGAGGAGCTGAGGAACAGCACTGCCCAGCGCAGGCTACACTCCTGCCCTGCCTCGAAGAGCGCCTGGCCCCCCACCCCTCCATTCCCGATGGACTGATGGACGCAGGGCCTGGCCCTATGCCACCTCTCCAGGAGTTTGGGGGGCAGTGGTCAAGGAGAAGGGTTGGGGACAGCCCCTGGCAATGAGCGGACAGGGATGCATGGGAGCGAGGAGGGGTGCCCTTCCCACCGGCCACTCCCACCCCCTATCCCCAAACTAGAGCCAGCTGGGGCTGCTAGGAGGTGACCTCAGCGCGATCCTGGGCCATCTACTGGGATGGGAGCAAAGCGAGGTGGGAGGGCAGGGTCGCTGGCTCCCCTCCTCCAACCCCACCCAGGGGAAGATAGGTGAGGGTTAGCCCCATACCCCTGACACACCACCCAAAGGAAGTGGGTACAACCCACAGGGCTGGTGGAGGGAGGCGCCAGAGGACCCTAACAGAAGTGTCTTTGCTGGGCAAGGGTGTCCAACTTCCAGCTGGAGCCAGGCCAAAGTAGCGGCGAAGGTGGGGGAGGGCGGGGAGCGCAGGGAGCTGGCCAGAGCGCCGCTCGGAGCCCAACTCCCCGGGTTAGCGGATCCCCGCACATCCAGGTGCGTCCGGCGGCGGGTCCTCCGGACGGGAAGACGGGCGGCCCCAGAACCGGACGCCGGGCTGACCGCGGAGGTCCTGGAGCCCGTGGAGGTGCCAAGAGAGGGTACCGGGTAGACCAGGGTGGAGAGGGTCCTGGAACCAGAAAAATCCCAAAGCAGCGCTGGGCGGACCCGGCGGAGCATGAAGGCGATCGAAGAGCAACACCGAGTTGGGAGTGATCTTAAAAGGCCTGGGGCGTCCCAAGGTGGCCGGGGTCCCAAAACCTCCAGAGACACCCCCAACCTGCGATCTGGAGGCCAGTGGGGGCGCCCCCAGACGGCTCAGGGTCCCGGAAATCAGTGGAAATGTCCCCGGAGGTGAGGCAGGGTGCTCACGTATCTGGAGACCTCTTCCCAAGTGGCCCAGGGACAGCAGGGGCGCCGCCGGGGTAACTCCCGTCCCCAGGTCTCCGAGGATAGCGGGGTGACGGCGGGGCCGTCCAGAAGTGGAGGCTCAGAGGTGTCCGGGTCAGGGCCCGCGGGGGGCGCGCGGAGGTCACTTACACTGCTGTTCTCGCCCGTCCAGTGCACCATCGCCTGATTGTGCGTCGCGTCCCCCTTGAGCACAAACGACGTGCTGATGAGCGAGACTTGTGCCCGCGAAGCCGCTCCGGCCATCGGCGCTGCCCGCGCCCAGCGCCCCTGGCCCGCGGCGGGGGCGCCGTCCTCGCCGGGACCNCAGCCGAGGGCGCACCGCCACCTGCTGGCCAGCCCCGCGCCCGCCCGGGCGAGCGCCAGACGCTCAGCAACCGGGGCTGGAGGAGGTCCTGGGGCGCGCCCCCACCCTCCAGGGCCACAGGCCTGGTACTCCTCTCCGTGCCTCGCTCCTCTCCTCCTCCCCGCTCTGCTGCCCTCCGCCCTTCCTCCAGCCCTTTCTTCCTGCATTTACTGAGCACCTACTCTGGAAGAGCCAAGTGCCAGGCACTGGGGATAACCGCGTGAACACAACCGGGGGCCTGGTTCAGCAGCTGAGAGTCTGTTGTCGGAGACAGACCACCCCCGAGTGGACGCGATCATGGACGAAATCGCCCCAGGGAGACAGGATGAAGCCAGATCATAAGTGGAAAGGTAGTCTGTTACAGGGGACTCTGAAGCAGTAGCAGTGTGTCGGAATCGAACCCAGCACCTTGAGGATGAGGAGGAGACCTTTAGAAGTTGGGGGTGGGGAGGCGGGTACTTGGAAAATCCTAAGGCAGCTTCCAGACGACCTATTCCTGCAGCCACGCCTGCGGCCGAGGCTTTGGGACTTGCAGATAGTGGCTTTTTGTCCCAACCCCGGAGGCCACCAAGGGGGCAGCCCTGAACGTAAGCACGGACCCCTGGGCGAGGAGAGGGTGTGTGCAAGGTCCCATCCGAGCCTGGCAGGCCACCGCGCAGAGTGGGGAGAGAGGCTCAGAGCGTGGAAGCCCTCTCCCAAGGTCATGAGCCTACTTTAGGCAGAATTCAGTGTAAGAGTCAGCGCCGCGTCCCCTGCCTCCATCCCCCTTCCCAGCGGCCCCTGCATGAGAAATCCTCAGCCTCAGTGCCCTTGTCAAACTCTCCTCCCAGACGGGGCTCTGCTTCTGAAAGAGAAAGAGAGAATGCTCACAGAGAGAGCCTAACAGGGCAGAGCAGCGAAGCCTCGAACATTCAGGAAAGATAGACAGAGGGGCTTCCTGCTGCCCCCAAAGAGCTCAACCACCTAGCGCCCTCTCTCCTGCATGCCCACCCAGATTCAACCAGAATTCATGCTCAGAAAGAGACTGGGCCTGCTCTGTGCCCAGCGCTGGGGTGGGGGGCAAGGGGCTGACTAGATATCTACACTGCCATCTCCTACCTCAGAGTGTGCCCTCACCCCTCCACCACGTAAATTCCTAATCTGTCAGAGTCTGACTCTCCAGCTCATGCCCAGGGTCAGGAGAGCAGGGGGGAGCCAACAGCTGGAGGAACATCTGTCCAGCACAGGGACAGAGCAGAACAGAATGGGGTCAGTGCGGGGCTGAACAGAGGGAGGGCGAGGTGCGGGGGTGCGTGTGAGCTCCGTTGCAAAGTCGTGCCCGACTCTTTGCGACTCCGTGGGCTATAGCCCACCAGCCTCCTCTGTCCATGGGGATTCTCCAGTAAGAATGCCAGAGTGGGTTGCCATGACTTCCTCCAGTGGATCTTCCCAACCCAGGGATCAAACCTAAATCTCTTACGTCTCCTGTATTGGCAAGCAGGTTCTTTACCACTAACACCCCCTGGGAAGCCCTGACTCATCCCTTATCTGAATTCAAAGCTCAGAGATGTTATTTCCCCCAGATTTCTCAGCTTACAAATACTTCTGGGCCTGGGGACCCAGTGATGAGAGAGGAAGACAAGATCCCTGTTCTGGGGAGAAGTGTCTGTCCTCGTGCAGACAGGCAGATCTGGGAGAAAAACCAGACAGTGCTACATAACCAGGAGAAACCAAGGCAGGTGTTCTGGGCCTGGGGATCCAGTGATGAGAGAGGAAGACAAGATCCCTGTTCTGGGGAGAAGTGTCTGTCCTCGTGCAGACAGGCAGATCTGGGAGAAAAACCAGACAGTGCTACATAACCAGGAGAAACCAAGGCAGGTGTAGGATGGTGATGAAGGGGTGCTGGGGGCCAGGTGACTTTGAGCAGAGAGGGAAAGGAGCTGCATGGACCTGGCAAGAAGAGCTGTCCCAGCAGAGGGGGAGCCCATGAGCTCCAGCACGTCCCAGAGCAGCTGAGCGGTCAGAGGGGGAAGGCGCCAGGCTTGATCTGTGTTCACAAGCACAGCAAAGGCTCCAGGGGGCGGGGGGCTTCAAGCAGGGGAGGGAGACCAGCGGCGTTCTTATAGCATCACTCTGGCCAGGGGGAGGACAGGTGCAAGAAGGCCTTAGGACACGACTGTCCGGGACCTGAGAGAGGCCAGGGCGGCTGGGCACCGGGGCGGGCAGAGACGGAGGAGGAAGAGTGGAGGGAAGCCAGCCTGCTGTGTTCACCTTCCTTAGTGACCCACGTCAGGGACTCGGACACATGGCTGCAAGTGTAGAAAGCAAAGGAGAGCTTCAAGCAGGCTTCCTGTCTGACACCCCTGGTGCAGAGGGGTCTCGGGAGGCCACAGAGGCCATGTCTATGGCGCCCACCAAGGTGGCTGATGGCTGGAGCGTGAATGCTGACAGAGGCGTTGCAAAGCCGGGCAACGTGTGGACACTGGGGTTCAGCACCTGGTATTGGGTGCATGGAATAAATATTAAACCCTCTCCAGGTTTGTAACACCTCATTCTTCACAGCAGCAAGATCCTAAGACTGGGAAACCAGCCCCAGCATCCTTCTTCTTCACCTCCATGCAAGCCACTGGACTCCGGACTGAATCAGGCCTGCTCCTGCTCCTGGGGGAATTCACAGCCTGATGGGGGAGGTGCACAGTCTGATGAGNTGAATCAGGCCTGCTCCTGCTCCTGGGGGAATTCACAGCCTGATGGGGGAGGTGCACAGTCTGATGAGAGAGGCACACAGCCTGATGGGAGAGGCACACAGTTTCATGGAGTTCACAGTCTGATGGGGGAGGCGCACAGTCTGATAGAGGAGATGCACAGTCTAATGGGGAGGTGCGCGGTCTGATGGGGGAAGCACACAATGTCATGGGGGAGTTCACAGCCTGATGGGGGAGGCCACCGTCTGATGGAGGAGATGTACAGTCTGATGGTGGACTTCACAGTCTGGTGGGGGAGTTCACAGTCTGGTGGGGGAGACACACAGCCTGATGGAGGAGATGCACAGTCTGAGGGTGGAGTTCACAGTCTGGTGGTGGAGTTCACAGTCTGATGCGGGAGGCACACAGTCTGATGGCGTTCACAGTCTGATGGGGGAGGTGCACAGTTTGGTGGTGGAGTTCACAGTCTGGCCAGGGAGGCACCCGCTAAACAGAGAGCGACATCAGGGAAGCAGGTGCTCCCAGGGAGGTGTCTGGGAGCCTAAAGGAAGGGAGCCACCTTCTGAGGTTCAGGGGGACGTTGCTCAGAGGAGTGCCCTTGACTCCTCCTCCCAGTAATAGTAACAACAGTAACATGTGGTCAGTGCCCCTTGCAGGGCACCTCCTCAGGGCGAGCAGTGTTTGAATGGAAGCGTTCACTGAACCTCTGATGTCCATATGGGGGCAGTCCTGTTCTCCCCAATTTAAAGGTGAGGACAGTCACAGCACGCAGGGGGCAGTGATTTTTCTTAATTTGTTTTTTAATTGAAGGATAATTGCTTTACAGAATTTTGTTGATTTCTGTCAAACCTCAACCTGAAGCGATCAGGTTGTGACATCTGTTACTGCACTGACCGCCAGGGTGGATTCGGCCAATCCGGCTGGCTAGGCGGTGTCCCTTTCCTCCCTCACCGCCGCACGTGCAGTTGAAGAGGGTGCCCTGTCCCGGTGGAGGAGGACGGGTCTTCCGTTAAGGGTATACGGGTAGCTGCACTCCCCTGCTAGAACCTCTGAACAAGCTCTCGACCAATCTCCAAACAAGGGGCCGTGATTTACTTGAAGGGTTCCAAGGCCCACGTCCTCATGCATCAACTGGGCGTCCTGAGTATCGCCCAGCTTCACCTCTCTGTTTTAGAAACTTGCCTCGCCTGTAAAATGGGACCAGTGCAGCCCTGACTCGGGCACTCTCCATGTGTCAGCTCTGGACCTGTGGCATCAGCGTTGATGGCAACTAGTTAGAAATGCTGGTTTCCGGGCCCACCCCACACCTTGCATCCTTGTACGCTTGCTTAGTCGTGTCCGACTCTTTGCAACCCCATGGATAGTAGCCCGCCAGGCTTTCTCTCCAGCTTTTAATCAGACCACCTGCTCATTAAACATCTCAAGCTTTTTTTTAATTATCAAAGGTCTCTTTGATAATATTTTAATATTATATTTTAATTTAATTTAGTGACATTTTAATCTACCTTTCTAATCATGGCAAAGCTCAAGAGATACAGCTCCCCAGCCTGTCCATCTCAGAAGTGGCCAAGGAATCACAAGAGAACCTCACCAGGGACACCAGGGAGCTCAGTAGGAGGGAGGCCGAGCATCCAGACAGGCTGGTGGGGGGCTGGGCTCCACAGAGGGGAGCCCGGGCCACTCCCTCAGCCACCCCCTCGGCCCCCAGGGACCCTGAGACATTCCGTACCTGCTCCAGGGCAGGGGGCAGCCGTGACTTGCAGACAAGTCTCCTAATGACTGTCAGTGAACAACAGGGTTAGAGGGGACAGCTTTGAGAGGAAGGATCACCGCTACAACCTCATTACCAGGTTGTCAGGGGAGACGGAGGCGGCAGTGGGGTCGGCCGGTCAGGAGAGAAGTCTGATCCCGAGATGGAAGGGAAGCGTGTCCAGGTGGAGGAGGAAGACAGGGCCCCACGGCTTGACTGATGCAGGGGAGACAGAGGACACGGTGGTGGTCCCTTGGGGGCATGGTAAGGGAGCAACCGTGGTGGTGGTGGCTGCTTCCTGCTTGAGGCAGGAATTTCCATGCCTGGAGTGTCAACGCTGTGGGCCCCCAAACCCCAAACCCATGGCGTGAGAGACAGCCAGGCAGGAGCCCCGGCCGGATGGGGCGCAGGTGACCGCCAGCC